TAGTGTTTCTTTTAACTAAAGTTAATTCACATAGAGATATGAAATTTAATTAGTTAAATAGGTTTAATGAGAATTCGAAAGGGTAAATGGAATACAATAGAAGAATTCGATCGAACACTATATTATGTTATGAATATTGAATTAAGAATAAATGTGATCAATAGATGAAGTTGTTATACTCTAATATTTATTACATATTTGAATTTTTAATTATCCATTATTTGCATTCATTTTATATTTTAATTTGTAAAAATTATTTAGGAAAAATAATCACAACCATCGTAATTATTTACTCGCTTTTGTCAAATAGGAGTTAGAAAAATTAGATTAAATCATAACGTATAGTTATCGTGGGGATGATATCCGGACTCAAGGGTCACTATACTGCTTGTTACGATATCGTACACTTGCTATATAAAAAACGCAACAAATTTTTGGTGCCGTTGTCAGGGATTATTTACTTTTAGTCTTAGTTTATTTTATGTTTAACTGTTATTTGATTTGATTTTACCTTTTTTTATTTAAAAAGAAGAAGAAGAAGAGTTCGTTGTATGCTTCGTATCCAAAGTGACGATCTTGCACCGCGTGACTCGAAAATAGAACGTACTTTCAGACGAAAATGCAAGGAATACAAACAAAAACAGCAATATCAAATGGCTGACAGTCAAAATATTCCTATTCTTATTCGGCCAATTGGAGAAGTAGCCGCAAGAGTAGCAGAGCCACCGGTTCAGCAGCAGAAGCGAAGAGAAATAAACTAAGAAGACTTGCCAGTTCCAATGTTCTTGACGCCAATAGTCGCGCATGCGCGTTCCAGTATTGTGTATTCATATTTTGGGGTAAATAATTGTCAGATAAGGGAAGAGTTGATCAATTTGATGAGCAACACTCTCCAATTCTTTCGCTTATCTCATGAAAATATGAACACACATATCTCCATATTTCGTAGAATTTGTCAGAACTTCCATGCTCTGAAGGTTAAAGGAAGCTGTTCAGTTGCGATTATTTCCATATACAGTGAGAGATACTGCATTAGAGTGGTTAGATGCCGAACCTCATGGAAGCATTACTACATGGAAGAACTTATCAAAAAATTCTGCAACAAATTATTCCCACCGGCAAAAGTAGCTAAA